TGTGTGTGTGTGTGTGTGTGTGTGTGTTAAGCAACCTTAACCAATGAATTGTTAAAACCTTACAAAGGCACCTAACTCAACTATGAACCAGTGTCGTGTCTACACATAACAGAGAACTTGGAAAAGATTTTAAATCTGATCTTTGTCTTTAACAGACATAAAATAGCATTTTTCCAGAGCTATTAGCTGAAAGGTTGACACATCTCGACGTGTTGTGCAGCATGTCCTTAAAAATGTTGAGGGAACTGAACAAGTTCAGGACAAAAAGATGCATGCTAAGAGATGCATCTTAACCTTCAGCTTATCTGTCACTGTTCATGGAAGTCTCATCAGAAATGGTCTCAGTGGATGGATTGCTGTGAAGAAGCCATTCTTACTGAAGGGAATCAGGGAGAAAGGTTGAGGTATGAAAATTACACAAGAACTGGACTGAAAATCAGTGACAACATATCTGATCTTGTTAAAAGTAACGATTATAAACAAAGAAAAGTGCAGTCAGATTTTGATCCACCATCCAATACCATCTGGAAAGCATCTGATTGGCAGCGGTTTCATCCCAGAGGCTCAAATATCGATTTGGTGAGCTTGAAACTTTTGTTGTAGCTCTACCAGGGGCCAACATTTAGTTAATGGATTAGGAAAAATTTTACAGGAAGAGCTCAAATAATTTAGTTGATCATCAACACATCTATTTAATTTTTCCTCTATTTCATAAGTAACTTCAAAACTAATGGCATTTTGTCATCAGCCTTAGCTGTTATTTGTGGGGGGGTTGCTTTGAAGTTAATTCTAACCGGTGGGTGGAAATAAAACCTGCTAGCATTACCGTGTAGAGCTCGCTGGATTATCAGGTGTTTCCTGTTAAGTCTACAGGTGCATGTCACAGTTATCACCGGGCATTCATGTGCCTTCACCAGGTAACATAAATCTGCAGCCATCAAATAAACTGCAGTTAAAATAATGTGACAGCTTCACAGTGAGGGGCTTTTTTTCTTCCAAGTTAAAGTTGTAATATGTCTGTTTACTGGCTTGGTGAATACTTCAATCCTCTCTCAGGTTTGACCCAGATCGATTCGAGGAAGAATCGGCCAGGAAGAGCTTCTGTCTGCTCGGATTCTCAGGGAATCAGACGTGTCCAGAGCTCAGGTAAGAGGAAATTATCCACACTCTGTCACTCAGACTGCTAATTGTGAAAGCAGACTTTATTAGACCAACTTTGGGAAGTTTTGATAACTATTTGAAGCTCTTCTACACCTGGATGTCCTGCATCAATCATTATTTGGTCTCCGTTAGGTTTGCCTACACTGTGGCTACGGTCGTCCTCAGCACGTTGGTGCGGCAGCTGAAGCTCCACCGACTGAAGGGGCAAGTGGCCGAGATCCGATCCGAGCTGGTATCCGCTCCGAAGGACGAAACCTGGATCACCGTCAGCAGAAGAAGCAGCTAAAACAAAGATTTAGAGAAAACGATGAAGAGCAAAGAGCAACACATTTAACATCACTGAATGAAATTACCAGCAGAGTATTCCCTGTTAGACGTCATCGTAGTTCCCCATCATGATGCCAGTAGTTTGGACTGACACTCTTAATTTGTAGGATTTTAAAGGCTGTTTCACCCACCTTGTACCACCACTGAGGCCTTAAGCATGACATTAGCTTTTTCCACTCACAGGTTTAGTTTGTCGAACGCTTCCTGTCTCTTCAGGGAGGGAGGCTCGACGAGTAAAGCTCTGTGACGGCGAGAAAAATGACTTGCGCTGCTAAAACTTTGTGTTTTCAGAACAGCTGGTTAGAGTCAGAGGGCTTGTTTGTGTCTGTGAAAATGAACCAAGCTGCATTTACATTTCATTCCTTTTTTTTTTTTTTTTTTTTTACATCCTGTATATTAAAAGATGGATGAAGATTTTGAGCTTGTGTCACTTCTGGTCTTTTATCTCTGTTGCTAGTTGCTAGTCCCCCCCAGTTCTTGTGGTCTCTGGTGAATGCCAGTCTCTGGATCTCGCCCCCCCCAGTAAATCTCCCTAATGCAGATTATCTTCAGGTTCTTAAAGTTTAACACCATGTAATGTCTCAAAAAGGTCTGATTTTTTAAAGGTGACCACCAGCCTGGTGTTGGGCACGTTTTAAATGAGTGAGTCTATTATTGTTGGTGCAGTATGATGCTTGGGTGATGAAGGGTTAAAAGCTGCAAAAACTGTTTTTTTAGGTCTCTAAATGAATTAAGGACAAGCATGATTATATTTGCAGATATTTTTAAATCTGCAATTTCAGAACACATTTTTACCACAGCAGACAGGCCATTGCTTTCTCCTGACACCTCGACTGATTTTTCTCTTTGTTCTTGCTTCTGCTTCAAACAAAACAAGTGAAGACTTGTTTTTTTAAAGAAATATAGAACAAGTCTTCATAACCCTTCACAGATACAGTGGGGCAAAAAAGTATTTAGTCAGCCACCGATTGTGCAAGTTCCCCCACCTAAAATGATGACAGAGGTCAGTAATTTGCACCAGAGGTACACTTCAACTGTGAGAGACAGAATGTGAAAAAAAAAATCCATGAATCCACATGGTAGGATTTGTAAAGAATTTATTCGTAAATCAGAGGTGGAAAATAAGTATTTGGTCAATAACAAAAATACAACTCAATACTTTGTAACATAACCTTTGTTGGCAATAACAGAGGTCAAACGTTTACTATAGGTCTTTACCAGGTTTGCACACACAGTAGCTGGTATTTTGGCCCATTCCTCCATGCAGATCTTCTCGAGAGCAGTGATGTTTTGGGGCTGTCGCCGAGCAACACGGACTTTCAACTCCCGCCACAGATTTTCTATGGGGTTGAGGTCTGGAGACTGGCTAGGCCACTCCAGGACTTTCAAATGCTTCTTACGGAGCCACTCCTTTGTTGCCCGGGCGGTGTGTTTTGGATCATTGTCATGTTGGAAGACCCAGCCTCGTTTCATCTTCAAAGTTCTCACTGATGGAAGGAGGTTTTGGCTCAAAATCTCACGATACATGGCCCCATTCATTCTGTCCTTAACACGGATCAGTCGTCCTGTCCCCTTGGCAGAAAAACAGCCCCATAGCATGATGTTTCCACCCCCATGCTTCACAGTAGGTATGGTGTTCTTGGGATGCAACTCAGTATTCTTCTTCCTCCAAACACGACGAGTTGAGTTTATACCAAAAAGTTCTACTTTGGTTTCATCTGACCACATGACATTCTCCCAATCCTCTGCTGTATCATCCATGTGCTCTCTGGCAAACTTCAGACGGGCCTGGACATGCACTGGCTTCAGCAGCGGAACACGTCTGGCACTGCGGGATTTGATTCCCTGCCGTTGTAGTGTGTTACTGATGGTGACCTTTGTTACTTTGGTCCCAGCTCTCTGCAGGTCATTCACCAGGTCCCCCCGTGTGGTTCTGGGATCTTTGCTCACCGTTCTCATGATCATTTTGACCCCACGGGATGAGATCTTGCGTGGAGCCCCAGATCGAGGGAGATTATCAGTGGTCTTGTATGTCTTCCATTTTCTGATGATTGCTCCCACAGTTGATTTTTTCACACCAAGCTGCTTGCCTATTGTAGATTCACTCTTCCCAGTCTGGTGCAGGTCTACAATACTTTTCCTGGTGTCCTTCGAAAGCTCTTTGGTCTTGGCCATGGCGGAGTTTGGAGTCTGACTGTTTGAGGCTGTGGACAGGTGTCTTTTATACAGATGATGAGTTCAAACAGGTGCCATTCATACAGGTAACGAGTGGGGGACAGAAAAGCTTCTTACAGAAGACGTTACAGGTCTGTGAGAGCCAGAGATTTTCCTTGTTTGAGGTGACCAAATACTTATTTTCCACCCTAATTTACCAATAAATTCTTTACAAATCCTACCATGTGAATTCATGGATTCACATTCTGTCTCTCACAGTTGAAGTGTACCTCTGGTGCTAATTACTGACCCCTGTCATCATTTTAAGTGGGGGAACTTGCACAATCGGTGGCTGACTAAATACTTTTTTGCCCCACTGTATGGCTCTACAAACCATCACACTGCGTGATGCTGTAGGCAGGCATCTCCAAACTTTTCCACGTCTGAACCTGCCGACACACCAGGGGTGGAGTTGCTAGGTTCTGGTGGTCTCTGGTGAAAGCCAGTCGAACTGCAAAGCACTGGGCTTTGAACACAGATCCTTTCAAAGGATGTCGGGCCCTCGGGCCACCCTCATGGAGTCTGTTTCTGTTTCTCTAGTTTGGGAAGAAACATGCGTATGAGCATCTTCTGGGTTGATGAGCCTTTCTACCATCCTGGTATCTTCTCCACATCCTCAAGACTGTGTTGGACAGACATCGCCTCATGCTACCAGGAAAAATCTGAACTCGAGAAAAAAAAAGTCTGTGGCCACAACCTACTAAACCTTTTATGGGGGTTGTCTTCTTGTTGCCTCTCCAGTTCATCTGCTGTTGGAAACACTGATATCCCTGAAGATCCACCAACTTGTGATGATCAAGTGCTAAGCAGTGTGTATTTCCAGCCCACATGTGCAAGACATTTTAAATTAAATTGGGCCTGAAAATGTATAATAAATCAATAATAGCTGTTATTTTGTTTATTGGATCAACAGGTTGGTGTATAAGAGACCAGAAAATAGTAAAAGCATCTCAGCTTTCTACAGGGGGAAGGAGGCGCTTTTAGCTCCAGAAAGTTATTCAGTGATTAGTTATTGAGTGATTGTTGCAGCTTTAAATTAAATGTTATGAGAGCTTTACAGAAGGGGAAGCAAAATCCTATTTTCTTCTCCTATTCCAGACTGGCTTCACAATAACTAAAGCCTTAAAGAGTAATAAAAAATGAGTCCAGGAAATGTATTACAGGTTTTTATTGCGTACAGTAGTTAATATATAGTTATGAAATGTTTTATTCGCTGAGTTAAATATTTCTGAATTGAAAACTAATTAAAGAAAGAAAGAAAGAGAAATAAATAACCTCTGAAGCACTCAGCAGTGGGAGTGTGCTGTGATGCCGCTTTGTTATTAATTTTGGGAAGCCCGGCTGTGGGGAGAGCCCTGCGGTACCGCGGGCGGCCACGGGGGCGCCAGAGAGCGCACCTCTCCGCTAAAGATGTGAAAATGGCGGAGCTACAAATGCTTCTGGAAGAGGAGATTCCAGCGGGACGAAGCGCGCTGCTGGACAGCTTCACTAATTTGGAAAGAGTCGCGGAGTACTGCGAGAGCAACTATGTCCAGGTAGGCTGACACAACCGTGGAGGGGAAGAAGGTGTAGTTTGTTTCTTTCTTTTTTTTCTCAATGGAGCGAAGTGGTGCTAGGCTAACTGATGCTAGCGCTGCCGATGCGGTGAAGCCGTGCTGTCAGCTAGCCTCGGCTAGCGCAGCAACAACCTGCTGCCGATGCGGTTTTTTTTGTTTGTTTTTTAAAATTAGATAACAAACTCATAATGTGGCAATTCCCCACCCGATTCATACCGCTATTTGTTTTCCTCTGTGTAACGATGTGTGTGAGCTGTGCATCCCACCGTGGTGGGTTAGCCGGGTAGCTCGTTCGCTTGCTGCTCGTCATCACCCCTCAAACCACCGAGCAGGCACCGTGAAAATCGATTTCTGTGCTCCGTGCGGGGATCAATCACTGCCAGCCAGCTGATCAGGCTCCGGCCTCAGATGTGGGACGCGATATCAAGGCAGATTAACCTCTGATAGGCTGTGACAGGAGACAACCCGCCGTGACAGCGTTACAAACAACTGATTTATGATGCTGTTGATGTAGCAGCCACACTTAAAACCCTTTAAAATGCTCAGCCTGAAGCCATTCATGTGCACCTCCGTGCAGGAGAGGGGAGGGGGGTGATGTGGATACATTTCTGCCTGTGTGTGAGTGCAGCCATTCAGATGCTTTGAAATTCTGCAGGTGTGATCTCATCTCATTTCGGCATCTCCACTCATCACACACTCGCAGGCCAGCTTTCAGTAGGTGAGAAATCAGGGAATAAGCTAGGACACAAGGTGTGATGCTGAAATCTGACATCCCTGATGAGCTGGGCTGATCAGGTCTGACAAGTTGCCCTGGAAAGAAGGAGGAGGAGAGAGGTGGTGGATGTTGGCAGCTTGCTGTCTGGCAGGTTGCCCTGTGAGGTTTTCCCAGCTGCTGTCAGATGGATGTTATCACTTATAGATCAGCTGGACAGAAGCAGGAAGCATCAGGAGAATGTTTAGTGTGATGCTTCACCTCTTACGTTTTCATATTTTCTGTCCTTTTCTGTTTCACTTTAAAGCAGACTTCTTACAGCATTAGTCATTGAGGAATTTAAACCTGCTAACTAATATTTCGGGTTGTCATTCACATGATGCCACAGGTGTGTTTGCTCGAACTCCACGCCCAGGAGTTGTTTGCAGTCAAGGGATGTTTCACTAACAAAACCAATCCCTAGTGTGTGAGATGTTTGTATTCACAGACTTCAAAGTCAGTATTATGGTTTTTTTTTTTTTTTTTTTTTTTTTAATAAAGGACGCAGTGTTGGTTGTCACTCATGCTTGATGCACTGATCCAGTCCGGTGCTCTGAAATGACCATATTTAGTGGATAATTGAGTGTTTCCTCTATTTATCAGTTACTTTCTCTCAGACTCTTTCGACTTTTTAATTTGTGGAGTGATCGTTTATCACAAAAGTCACTTTTTTTTCTTCTTTTTTTTCCATGCACTGTTGGCAAACACTGTGCCATCAAAAGTGCATGAATTCTGTTTGGTTTACCAGCCGGCAAAAAAAGAACCGCGTCCGTGCTGGTCCTACGCCTGCTTGCCTACCTGCCTGTCTGACCCGAGTCATTTCTAGCCTAACTACATTCTTACAAAACCCACCAACAAAAGGGGCAACAACTGAAATAATGAGCAAAATATTTTCACAATTTTCTTTGGTGGGGAGCAAAAGCAGTCCTGCAAATATTTTCAGCATCACTACGCCTGTCTTATCTTTGACATCTGATTCATACTTTTGGATTGTGGAGCCTATAACACAACCTACCCAAGTTGCTGAGGTCATTGCCGTTATGTGTGGTCATGTCCCGGTGCTTTACATGTGGTGACAACCATGATACAAACCAATAAAATCCTCTTTGTTCCGGCCATGTTTATCCCTCACGTCTGTTCTGATGGTTTGAGGAATCTCTTACATTGACATGTAATTCTTAATCCTTATACTGAGGCGATGATTGTTACTTTTCTGGTGTGTGTGGACTCGGTTGTTAGTTTTAAGTAGGGCTGAACGATTATGGAAAATAATCTAATTGCGATTTTTTGCCCCAATATTGCGATTGCGATGCGATATGCGATTATTTTTTAAGGTCTTTGTCTTCTGTATTATTAAACAAAGACAAGCAATACATCATATAGTATGGCCAATACTATATTACATTAATTTTAAACTGTTCTTTCCTGGAAGACAGACCTCTGTTATGATGACATGAGGTGATGCATGAATTGATGACTGACATTTTTATTTAACTTCTTCAATCACAACAGTATATTTGAACATACACAATAGTTTATTTTTAGCTTACAAACATCTGAGCATAAAGTGCTGACAAGGAACCCTGGTGTAAACATTAAAATGAAAGTCAGTACAATGTGCAGATTGCAGAAATATACATAAAAAAAATCAGTGGCTTTACCACACTCAGTTTTTCGACATCTGTGAACTACTAGACAGTCATTCAATTAAAAAATAATATTAAATAAATAAAACTAATAAATAAAAAATACACACATCTTACTGATCTCTGCAGTCAGTAACATTACACATAAAGTGCAAACATAATAGCAATTGTATAAACACACACAAACACGCCTTTAGAAGTAAAGGCGTGAAATTGGACGGTCTAGCCTTCTGATTAGCGTCACCGCTGTCTCGTGGAGTTTAATAAACTCGGCCTGTCTGCTTCTTGCTATCTAAAATATAACCAGGACACTGGTGTAAATTCTCGACGTCTCATACTTCTGTTTAATCAGTTTTCTGTTTGACGTTTAGTCAGCTGTGTGAAAACCAAGGAGGAACCCACCCGGGGGATTAATAAAGTTTTATTTTATCTAATCTAATAACTTTAATCTCAGCCAAACCGATTTACTCACGAACAAACAAAACACTGAAAAAAGCCCAACAATAACATTTTTAGGTTGTCTAAGTGACTTATATATTACGTTTAACCCGAGCAGCGAAACTCCGCGGTGATCTGAAAATGATGTGCCGGGAGTTGTGCCGTTCTCGGCCGCATCAGTAACCCTCGAGCTCCCGGCTAGCTGTCGAGCTGGTGGGTAGCAGACGCCTCTGAAAACGTCGAAGCACTTTTGCAAATATGGGATATCTTGATAAACCGAGCAGATATTTGATGTTTACACAACTACTTTCTCGCCTGAAAATATGTTAAAAGTTTATTTTGTGACCCAGAAAGATTAGTATGAGTAATTTTAAAACTTAGTAGCGGCCGCCATTGCTGGAAACTGGAGTTTGGCTGGGCCGCGCTATGAATTCTGGGATATGGTAGTAATTTGGACAGCCTTCGGCGCGTCGCTGTGACGTAATCGGTCTACAAATGCGGCCTCAGGAGGATGCAGCCCATGAATTTGGACATGTCCAGAGTATAATCGCAGCCTTTGCGGTTAGAAAATTGCACTTGATCATGTCGCGATATTATCGCAAATGCGATATATCGTTCAGCCCTAGTTTTAAGCCATTTTGGATATGTTGTGATGTTTATTTTTGTTAATTGTGGTTCCCATTAGAGTCAAAAAGATGAGGATAGAGTGCTACTTTGTGGTCGCTTACTTATACATTGTTTCTGCCGACGTACGGGGGGCGGCATCCGCATCGAAGCCGGTCATTGGTTTCTCAGCCGAATCAGCCACTCATCATTTCAAAAAACCACAATGTTCAGCTCAAGAACGTAAAATGGGACTTCTTACACCAAACATACAGTCTGTGGTTTGATGTTGTCAAGACAACGTGATGAAACATTGTTCAAAGGAATTATTAAGCTTTGGGACACTTTTGGGTGTTTGAAGCCGAGATCCAGTTAGATATTGACAGGAAGCTGTTCGGTCACTGTATTCGCTCTGAAATGACTATGCAGAGTTGTGGTATATTTGTAATGTGCTACCTTTACTTGGTGCCAGAGCTCATTATGATATATTGTTTTCAAGAGGCCCAAAATGTGCTTTCTAACAGCTGTGGTAGTATTTGGCTGAATGTTTGTCATACTGTTTGTACAAAGGCTCGTTTTACTGGTCCAACTCGTGTAGAGAGCAGTGCTGCTGCTGCTTTTTTTTTTTTTTTTTTTTGTTGCGTGGTGGCTTGAAAGCAGCCTTGTCCAAACGTTACTGCTACCCTTGAGCTTTAGTAGTGAATGACAGCCTACCAGGTGCCAGTACAAATGAGGGGACATGTGTTTTGTAGGGCAAATAATTGTTTTAATTAGCGTTTTCTGACTCAAAATGGGTTGAAGATGCAGTAAGCCCAATCAGTAAGCGTGCAGCAAAGGCCCTTGAGTCTGTTATGACTTATTTAAAAATGACAATTACCTTTTTTTTTTTTTTTTTTTTTTAAATTGTCTCTGCCCATTTTGACTTAAATTGTTAATTATGGTTTAGTAATGGAGTGATATCCATCCTCTCTTACCGTATACGTATCACTGGATTAAATCCGTCTCTCCTGTGCCAGCAGGTGCTCTTGTGACTTTTACCACATAACCTGCTTGTCCTCATTCTATAGCAGCGCTGCGTCCTCTGCTCTCCTGTAAATGATGTCATTTGTTTGCATGCCGTGCCAGATGCTTAAACTAGTTGGATTAGGGGTGTGTGTGTGTGTGTGTGTGTGTGTGTGTGAGAGAGAGAGAGAGAGAGATTGTTTAAAATTTAAAAAGTGCGCTGCATGTTTCACATGAAAGGGAATAGACTGATTACCACAGAGGGTGCTGCTCATTGAAGTCGTCATTGAAATCCCCGGATTGTTGCTTGATGCTGCCTCTCAGTTTTTTGTGTTTTGTTTTTTCCTCACAATCTTATGTCAGTTTAGCCCAGATATCCTTTCATTCTGATTCGATGTGTTTGTACAAAGGTTTCCTGTTAAAACTAACAAATAAATAATAAAGAAGAGAAGGAAAGACGTGGGCTTTCCCATTATCCTGGCATCGCAGCCCTGGATTTTGGGGAGTTAACAGCATTGCTTAAATTTGAATTTTAAAGTAAAATCAATAAGTCGATATCCAATCACAGCCTAAAGGCTGCTGCAAACAATGCAGGTAATCTGCTGCTGTCTCTCGCACACAGGAAACTCTGAGCGGTTTTGTCGCCACTAATTTTTGTTGGTTACACTGCAGATTATGTGGAAATGGCGAGCTACAGCAATCAGACTTTTGCAGACCCTCAGATGACATTTTAATGAAGCTTGTTTTATCCCAGCTTAAATCTACAGCCTTACGATGGTCTTTTTTAGAAGCAAGAACAATGAAGTTTGTTCTGCGTCTTTAAGAAAACACCTTGAAAATAACTCATCTTTATTAAAGTAGCTGCTTATGATTGAGAGGGAAAAAAACAGAAATGAGTAATCTGAATATTTTATGACTCTAAAATGCTCAAATTTTTTTAAAAAAAGCCCTTAATCATTGCTAAAAGACTAACATTACTTGTTTAAATCTAAACAAAGGCAGTGCTTGATCACATAGACCAAATTAAAGCTGCAAATTGCCACATTTGAGAAGCAAAAATGCTTTTTTTTTTTTTTTTTTTTTTGGTGTCTGCCTTTGCTTTCATTCACACCATTATGTGCTGGCTTTGTGCTGCAGCTCGACCCCGCATGCTGCGCTCGGTGCAGTGTCACGGAGGATTAAGGAACACAGTTTCCCAGCAGAAACATTAGCCGATCCATCTGCCCTTTGATGTTCCTGTCGACGTGCCCACGCCGTGCCCACGGCCAATCGGCTGCCTCTGAACACTGCTTTCACGCCGGCTGCAGCTGTTTTACCTGCTACTCACTTCACTGCCGCTAAGCTCTTTTCTCTTGCTTCACTACAAATTTGCTTCTTGGTGCTGAAACCTTTTGCTCTCCATCCTGCTGACACTGACTGCATTCAGGCTCCACTTTTTGTGCACTGCTTTTTGTGTTGGAATGATATTTTCTTTAGCATTGAAGTAGCTCTAACCTCTTTAATGCCTTTTTGAAGTGCTCATGTGGGGATTTATCATTAGTGGGTCAGCACTGAGTTAAATGGTAACTATGTGCCGGGTTCAACATAACCTGTAGCCCCATTAAATCGTCCTTCATAAGGTGTGTTTGGATAATTACATGGAAAGGGTCTTTTTAGCTGATCCATCCACTGGGGCTTGTTTTTCACAAACCCATAGCTCAGCTAATTTGGAATCAAGTTCAAATGAAAGCAGTCTGTCTCTGTTCACCATCCTCTCCTTGTGCAGAAGGCTGTGTAGCCTCAAAGCTGAGGTGCAGGTTCTCCCTGAGGCTGTGAGGTTCGTGTTTATAATCTCTTGTATGACAGTAAATGAATACTGAATAAGAAGGTCCTAGATTAATTTCCAGCCTGGGAACTTTCTTTTGAAGTGTGTGTATTCTTTCTGTGCTTGTATCGTTCTCTTCTGATAGTCCGTCTTCCCCACAGGGGCTAAATTATACACGTGAGGTTAAATGATGATTTCAGCCACCAGTGGCTGTAGGCTAAAATGTGTGTATAGTAGGGCTGGGCCATATCATACCGTTCACGGTAATACTGGTATAATGTTGGGCAACGATAAGAAAATGAAATATCACGATAGAATATGGGTAAAACGCGCATGCACAGTGCCTCTGTTTCCATATGCACATGGCGGAAAAAGCTGGCGGCGACGGAGAATGAGAAGGGTGAAAGCGGATCGTTGAATGAAACAGATGAACTAGAATCGGTTTGTAAAAATGCTGCAACTTGAGTGGTGTGGAGCTGGTTTAGCTTTCGTCCGTCAGATACACAACAAAGCACTATTTCTGGTAGAGCATGCTAGCGGGCCGTCGTTATTACCGTGCTTTTTGGAAAATACGGCGCACTTAAAATCAATCCTTTGATTTTTCTGAAAATCAACAGTGCCCCTTATAATCCCGTGTGCCTTATGTATGAATTCTGGTTGTGTTTACTGACCTCGAAACGATTTTATGTCGTACACGGCGCTCGAAAATCTGTCAGATGTTTTAGTACGACTTTGCTAAGCTACGAACCCGCACCGCTTGATGGATTGTCAGAGCATTACGGTTATCGTAGGCAGGCGCCTCGCGGAGTGATACGTACTGTGCTTCAACATAATATTACCATACTGTGTGTGTATAACCTCTTTAAGTTTTGTGGATGTTATACATGGTTATGCTGAGGATATGTTGGCCAATTTCCACTGGAAATGCCTTTTGGTTAAACTGTCAGCAAGGAATTTGCACTGTTACATGTTTATATAACTTTAATCAACATAAAAAAACAAAAAAACATCTGCTTGTTTAAGTGAAAATACATTGATGTTTTGTTTTTTGTTTGCACTAATAAAGTTGTGGAGTTGTAAAGTATTTTGTCTAGTGTCAATTATATTGTCAGTTATATCGTTATTGCAAATTTTCAAATGTATATCGTGATAAATATTTTTGGGCATATCGCCCTGCTCTAGTGTATAGATGTGCAAACAGTTGCTTGGTTTGCATGCTGACATTTCGGCAAACACTTTCTGACTGGCGGCAGGGTCTTTGAAAGGACTACGTTTTTAATTACTTTGTTAGTGTTATTCCTAAACATTGTTGTGTACTTTTTATGGACCAATTTTACAGAATTAACAGCCTAATAACATCTTTTTGTTCTTTGAAGAGATGCTGGCATTATAATAGCCATTTTATTTGAGTGGATATCACCTTTAGCCTATAATAATATGCATCTTGCTGTTCCTGCTGCTACAGTAATCATCAGGGCACTGATGATAGTACTTTGTTTTGTTAGGAAAACATGCAAAAACACAAAGAAAATGTAAAGAAATGAGGACTTTTGCACAATATTGTAGTACTCATTACAGAAAGTGTTTTGACACAAAAGCAGAACATCTCTGTCTCTCTCTGACGGTTTAGTCTTCTTATGTTTCTGCACTTGTAGAGAATAAATGTGCAGATGTTGACTGTTGTTCTTCCTGTAGAAGCCAAGCCGACTGGAACAATCCATTTATATTCTGCTTGTTTTTGTCAGGGATCAAATGCAAACACAGTCGTTTCAGAGATGCCAGAACCCTGTGGGGGAACCAGTCGTCTGCTGCAACTTCTAATCTTTGTAGCTGCCCGCCCTCATACAGCAGGCTAGAAGTAGCCCTGGAAGTGTGTAAATGCCCCCTGTGGGATTTCCTCTGTGTTTTGACATGGCCCTTGTCTAAACTGTTAGACTCATCTGAGTACAACAAGCACTACAAAATATGCAGGAATCTTGTAGTGTAAAGGTGGTCCACTTAAAGTCCGCATTTTTTCAGAATGTCCTCAGGTAACACAGGCTGTGTTTTCCCCTCTGCTCCCTCAGTTTTCATCACTTTGTAAAACCTGCATCGTTTGCTTTCCATGAAATGCAAATCGTGTCTTTTGAAAGTCAAATATCCATTTCTCTTCTTCAGTCTCCAGACAAGCAGAGGGCGCTGGAGGAGACCAAGAACTACACCACCCAGTCTCTGGCCAGCGTAGCCTACCTGATCAACACGCTGGCCAACAATGTCCTGCAGATGTTGGACATCCAGGCCTCGCAGCTCCGCCGCATGGAGTCCTCCATCAACCACATCTCACAGGTGAGGGAAGTTAAACAAATCAGGCTTTTGACTCACCTGCCAAGAAGGAACCCCCTCCATCAGTTCTCAAAGCACAATTAACAGTTAAATATGGCCTTTTAATTCTCTTTGTCCTTTTTCTATTGGGTATTAAGCTCTGTGTAAGCCTGATTAATGAGGTTTTAATAAAGTTTTACTATCCAAATGGACCAGACGCTGATGTGACTGTGTGGATAATGAATGTATAATTCAGTGTATCTGCATTGCAGGCAAATATGTGTGCTGGAGCTGCATGCTGGATCGAAAGATAAAAGGGTTTCAACATGCAACAGATACTTCAAAGCAATCAAAACCCTAAATTATGAAACACTCTGAAACACCTCTTCCTCCTAATAAAGTCTTGGCAGGCTTTCAGGACTAAGTGTTTTAATTTTAAGAAATGAAAACATGCCTCTCATCCTTAGACGGTGGACATCCACAAAGAGAAGGTAGCACGGCGGGAGATCGGCATCCTCACCACCAACAAGAACACGTCCCGTACGCACAAGATCATCGCCCCGGCCAACCCTGAGAGGCCTGTGCGATACATCCGCAAGCCCATCGACTACAGCCTGCTAGACGACATGGGCCACGGAGTTAAGGTGCTGATTCTGGTCTTTTTTCCCTTAAATTTGGCCAAAAGTAGTCTTAAAAAGTCACCAACCACATGCCAGTTTATAAGAGTGATGTGATTATTTTTATATTATAAAAATAATCACATCACTTACTTAAATACTTAAATACAATACAATTTTTTTGCATGCAGTACTGTCAAATACTTAACTTTAGGGGTCAAAAGAAGACCATGGAAATGTGTTTGAATGTCGGAATTAATCCAGGCTGCTCACTGATGAAAGTCTAAAGATAAGCAAAGGACTTGTAGAGGTCATGTTCTTTATTATTAGGTTTCAGTGGTTTTCAAAGTCAAGAAATCTAAGAAAAAAATCAATGACTCAGGCTTTTCACATAAACGGGAAGCCAGTGACGGCCAGGACATTAAGCCTGCCACCTGCAGCTGGAAACAGGCTTTTCTCATGATTTTATGTTTAATAAAATCATGGGAGAGGCTGATTCTTAAAGCTTTGTTCCTGCTGACTTTCTGAACAATGACGAGCTTGTTTATACAGAAAACCGAAGCGCTGGCTTTCAACCTTATGAAGGTCGAATTCCTCAGATTTTAAACACTAAGCTATTGTTGGCCGGATCTCTCCAGCTCGGCTTTGTGTGAAGCACAAGCTTGAACAACTGTTGTTTTCCTCTCCTCCTTCACACACTAATCACCTGATTTCTTCTCTCTCTCTTTATGCTTGCCTAACTTTATCTTTGTTACCAACTGTAGTGGTTGCAAAGGTTTAAGGTAAGATTTCCAAAGTAAGAGCCCCAAACAAGGAAGGACTTTTTGTGATTTGTGGATGTTTTGTATTGTTGTGTCTGTGGTTTCTTTTACATTTTTGGTTTGTTTGCAGTTAAAAATGTGTTTGCTTACAGATATTCAGATTATATTTCAGAAAAATGCTTTAACCTCCTAGGACCTGGCGTCCACATACATGGACATCACATTTTGGGTTATTTAGAGTAAAATACTCAATTTTGCTCTACAAGGGCCTGATATCCACTTACGAGGACATTATACTGCTACTGTTCTATCAAAATTTTAAACGAATATCCTCATATGTGGCTCTTATTTTTCTTAAAATCAAAAATAAGGTTGAAAAAAAATCTGGTAATTCTTTATTTTTACATTCATCGGGCCCCAATATGCCCAAATATCAAAGAGAAATTAAAAATGCATGTCGTGGAAGAGTTCTGGGCTTAGGAGGTTAAAAATGAACTTGTGAAAAATCCTTTGCTTGTCACATTTTTAATGCACAAAAAAGTAGAAATATCAGTATTTGCTTCATGTTGTCGTTTTTGGAAATAAAACCTGGAAAAACCTTGAAAGATGCAAAATTTACAGCTGGTATGAGAGGAAATGGAAATGCATTACACCATAATTTGGAGCATATTTGCATCCATGTGTCGCGTAGACTGCAATTTATATTTGATTACTACAACCACAATTGAATCACAACAACCAGCTTTGTATCATCAACACCAACTGTTATGATTTTATATTTTAGTTGATGATGATGATGATGATAATAATATTGTGTTACATAGGAGAGCCTAATTTGACTCTGACACTTCTGTTATGCCTTTCAACAGACTGTCTGACTTAGATAAGCCTACTGAAGTCTCCCTGTACTTTGTCGTGCTATGACTAAAAAAACCCCAAACTTTTATGTGCTTTGACCTAATTTAACATTTTAGCAACTTTTAATTTGAATTTGTGGCAATTTGTGAATCTGTGACAGAACGTAAAGAAAAGCAGAAAGTTTCAAGACCTTTATTATCATTACCCAACAGAAAGCTGATTGTAATGACCAAGTGTGCAAAGGGAAAGTCTATCCATCAACACTTCTAAAACCAGCCAATTAGCATGTAATATATTTTCTTTCTTTTTAAACTGCTTCAAGTCTTAGTCACCCACATTTATTCAGCATTCATATATTATCTATACGTAAGCACTTTATCTAACATTCACACAATCACACTCATACTCGCTGGATGCACCTCCTCCCAATGCCTCCATGCAGCCGATGCAAATTCACCAACCTTCCGATCAGTAGATGACCTGCTCTTACCAACTGAGCCTTTGTGTGGACGATGGAGATGAATTCTTGTTACTTGGGCAGATGTTGTTACCTCCTCATGCTAACCTAAGCTGCCTCCTATAGGAGTGCTGTTGATCTTATCTTCTAACTCACATCACAAAATAAAGGATAATTTGAAGGTTGACAGCTGTGTAAGAAGTCTAATGGTTAACCAGCAGATTTCTAAACCAATGTCCACCTACCTGCCACAGGCCAGCGCTCAGAACATGAAGGCCGGAGGAGGCGGACTCCCTCGCACCAACCCCCCCACGCAGAAGCCCCCGAGCCCACCCATGACGGGGAAAGGGACGCTTGGGTATGTAAGCTGTGCAACCACCTTGGTGTGTGTTGAGACGGATGTACGGCGTGCAGAGTCGGTTTTGGGAGGTAACGACAAGGCCTGTCATATGGACGTGGTTACTCCCAGTTTCATCATCGCTCCTTTACCTCCTGGTTTAATTAGTCTCTTCAGGGTGGTTTCAAATGTGTTTTAGGGCCAGTTCACATTTCTGTGCTGCTGAGACAACCTCATTTCTTTTATACAAGAAATATTTTTACATCAAGCTGCATGCTGAATTTTGGATTTGTTAGGGTTTCTCGCTCTCAGACATGCACCATGCATCTTTTAAATAGGTTTCCCTAAATTCTAAAGAGTTTTTTTTTTTTTTTTTTTTTTTTTTTTTTCTGTGCAAGTGTGTTAAAGTTTGCTCTTTTTGGGATGCTTGAAAGTTGTCTTTTGATAATCTACTTGATATGAATATAAGCAGCAGTGTTTGCAATAATACAAAGCTGATTTTTTTTTTTGGTTTGTTTTTTTTGTACCCAATTTAATACCTGGCTTTTTTCTTTTTTCTGGCATTCAAGACCAGAACAAGGATTTTTAAATCCCTTATTTTAGGAAAAGAAACTTTATATTTTGAGGTTTGTAGAAGAAGAGATTGGTTTGGTATTGGTTGTCATCTAAAGAAAAGAAAAAAAAAAGCTCTTTTATTCTATTTTTAGTTCAAACATGTTAAACTCCTCCTGACTGAAGTTAGATCAGACATCAAAATAAAAAAGCATCAAATGGGAAAAACAAACAAACAATATTGTTAATTTTAATTTCTATCAGCTTCACTTTAAGAAGACAATTAGCTACGTTAAACCCATCAAATCCAGCCTTCCTAGCAGTACAGATACATGGTTGATATTAGCCTGTTTTACCCTGTCACTATTTATATCCCAGCACTGGTGTATGCATGCTGGCTGATGAGTAAAAAGAAACTGATGTACTTACATGCTTAACTAATATTTTCCCAACTGATTGATATAAATTATCTTTGCAAAAATAAGGGGAAAATAAAAAATTAGAATAAAATACAGAAGATTCAGTTGAACAAAATGGAAAATGTACAAACGCCGACCTTCTGTCCAAATTCAGCTTCTATATATAAGACCTGTGGTACTTTCGGTGATCGTCAAGTTGAGTACAAACAACGTACATTTAAAATGACACAAACAAAAAATTGCATTCACAAAGGGGTTGCTGAATACCAAAATCAACTGGGATTTATAACAAATCTTTTATAAAGTTTGTACATGTTAACAATCACTTCATGTGTGACGATCTTCGTTCAACTTTTCATTCAGATTGGCCGACCCATTAATTAGGAAGTAAGGTACATATTATATATATTGCACTGCATTATACAAAAGTAATGATCATTATGATCACAAGGTATTTAAAGCTAAAAAAATAAATAAATCTAAGTGTAAATCATACCAGCTGTGATCCCATTATTTCTTAAAGGCATCTTAAAAAGGAAAAAAAAAAAAGTAATTTTTTTTTTTTTAAATCCCGGATTAGCCCCCATTCTTATTGCATTTTGTTTATTAAAATTGAACATCTTTTTTTTTTTTTCTAGTTTGCTCCGATAATGTCATTTTCAACTGATTTTGTCTTTTTCCAAAAATGTCTTTTTGAGGCATCATCATTATTTTAACTATAAAATGTATCTTTCAGCTCATATCTTGTTCATGCTGCTAAGTAATTACAGTGAATGTATTTTATCTTAACCATTAAATTGAGCACTATCAGCCAGATTTAGCCATACGGGCAGGCTGTGACAGGTTAATGGCTTTAATAGACTTTAATTTTAACTGTATAATGTAGGTGTAGTTTTGGAGCAACTTTAATTAGAGTATCACTTTTCACTGAAGTTTTGTGGTCCTTTCTTAGTTTTGGAGTATTCTAATGTTATGTTCTGTGTCGGAGCTCATGGAAGCTGCAGAGGTGTTTGGTGTTGTCTGTCTTGTGCCTGACTGTTGGAGGTGTGTTTTATCCCACAGGAACTCTGCTAGTGCACCTCATAATGCTGTGTGTGTATGTCTTACCCTTGGGACAGTCCTATGTATGATGTGCTGTTTGTGTTTCTGTGGAAAAAGTGTGTGTGTGTGTCTCCTTCTGTCCCTTCAAGACGCATGCCGATCAACCACAGCTCCAACCCTCCATGACGCACCTTCAGCCGCAGCCTGTAGCTACAGGCGGACATCCTCTGTGTGATTTTTAATTTGTCGCCTTCTCCTCTGTTACTCAACTACCTCAGTTTTCATTTTGAGTTGTGTGTTTGTGACCCAGCTCGCCCACTCCTGGCTGCCCCATATTCCTCATAGCAGCGTTTTGCCATGGCAACAGTGCTCAGAGATGGGTCACCCCACTGTGTCAGCTGGGAAATTTACATCCAGCACATCTTATTGCAGGCCCAGATCAATAAAACCTCAGGGTTATGTTTTTTTTCTATCCCTCCCATGTTAAAAACTGATCATCATAGAGCTGCTGCTGGCTGAAAAAACACATTTCCAGGTTTTTATTCAAGGAGTTTATATTTCAGAAGATGTGGGTGGAAACACTTGGGAACACTTTAGGGATTTAAACCTGTTGCTCTGATTTTATTATTTTAGTTCCCTTGAACAATTTCATAAATTCAGGATTGCTTTTGCTAATTTACACTGAGAGTCTAAGTGTTGAAGTTACTACATAACTCAGGAATTGTTGCTAAGTGACTAAAATTGAGTGGCATCATAATATTTCATACAGGAATACTTTTTTGTTTTGTTTTTATCATTTCATGAAAAAAGTTTATATAAACACAAACTGTACTAGCAGTAATACAGATTTTTTTAAATTACAATTTTCTTTGTTCCAATCATTCTTGAAAAAGGTTTAAATGCTAGCATCAATTTAACATCATGAAACAGATGAGCTTGTGACTCCATAACACTGTGATCAATGAAAAATACAGTCCCTTTTAAATATCTTTGAAGTTAGTGCCAGCAAGATGGAAAAAAACAAGCTTCATCTCTCATTGATCTTCATCAGGGGTGTCAGACTCAGTTTTTGTAATGAGCCACATAAAGCCCAGTTTGGTCTCAAGGGAGCCAGGCCAGTAAAGCAACTGCACCATAAACTGCCTTTGTTGTTATGTAAACCACAAGTAAACTTTGTCTTTGAGTGAACTAGGGGCTCTATAAAAGCACAGTACAGTTACTGTAGAGTTTTTAGAGCCAAACAGATAACGTGGGTTTACTCTTTATGATAAGAATTGGAAATGCTTGTCACATTTTCACCCTAGCGTAATGCTAGCTCGTACAACGTTTGAAACTTGTAGTCAGTCTATCAGTTTTGCAATGGAATGAGGTTGAGCAACAAGGTCTGCATGACAACAGTTTAACTGCAAATTGACATAAGAACTCAGTAACTTTGGTTTTATATAGGATACAACAGTTGGAAACCAGTCCAGTTGGTTCCCCTGTTGTAAAGAAACTAATTGTAGACAGGTTGGAGACTGACTCGAGTTGATTGCGAACTTTCACCAACCTGTCTGGGAGTGATTGCAAACAGTTTGAGTCGGACTGTGATTGTTTGCAGACAGGTTGCAATTGTTTTGTGATTTAATGTGGTTTTCAAATGCAAAAAGAATGTAATTGCAATCAATGGGCAACCACAACCACGTCCTGTTTTTATCCTAGTGTGACTGTGCCATAAACCACAATTGTCCAGCTGTAAAATAGATACAGTTTTACGTAAACAATAAATGTCTTATAAATCAACAAATCAAACATGTCAGTAAAACTAGTTTTAATTGTAGTAGCTTGATTTCATTAAGTGCAAACAAACTCATGGTGTATCTCCTTAGGAGTGTGTTTTTCAGCTGACAGCAGCCACGTCATTTCTGACTCCGCCCCCCTCACCTGTGGACCCCAGCCAGCCCCAGTGTTTCACCACCTGTCATCACCCATTTTTTTTTGTGTTTTTTTTAAGTTTGCACTTGTTTGTTTCTTGCTCTCCTCCTCCCTCTCCCCCCTCCCCTCCCCCTACACTTCTCTATGGATGCCCTCCTTTCTCCCCTCCTCCCCTTCCTCTCGACTCCTGTCCTCCTGACCCTCTCGCAGGCGCCACTCCCCCTATAGGACGCTTGAGCCGGTGCGTCCACCCGTTGTCCCTAACGACTACGTCTCAAGCCCGACGCGCAACATGGCGCACCCCCAGCAGAGCCCTGCACGCACTGCATCTGTTAATCAGAGGAACCGCACGTACAGGTACCCCCACCCCACTTCCCAGCATGCCTCTCTACACTTTTTAAACAAGCCCCCCACCCCCCTTTTGCCCCACTCTACTTGCCTTTTCTTCTTCTCCTCTCCTACACTTAAAAATGCGATCCAGCTTCTTCTGAGCACTTTCTCTGATATGGCACCTCGTTGAAATTATAACCACTCTTACTTCATAAAACTCACATCTAGGCCCACATCAGCAGCTCCAGCTCCCAGGAGAAGCCCAGACTGACACATTATTTAGAAACCACCTCACCTGTTTGCTCCCCTCGCTGCTCAGATAACAACAAAGAAACAAGCATGAGGTAGAGATGCAGAGCTTTATTTAGCTTGGCTAGACACAGGTTCCTATGGTAATAGTCATTAAATAGGCAGCGTCGCCCCCACGGTCCTGTCATCCACTGTCAGTTCATCTCCCAAGATGAAGCTTTTTCATGCCCAACACGGAGTGATATTCTTAGATCCACCCTGCCTGCCGTCTCAGAAGTAAAAGCAAGAGGGGTTTTGGGAGGGGGAAAACAACATGGAAAGTTTTGTCATGGTGTCCCATCTGTTGGCCAAACGTTTCAAGTATTTCTAGAAATAGGAAAACTTCCCCGACTCTCCTCTCAGCACGAGTGTGTATCTGCTCCACTCCATCCATAGCTCATCTTCTTCATCTCTCAGCCATGCGCTCTCCCGCCTGTCAACAGGAAGTCTGCCCTATGTGTCACGATCTTTCCTGCTGCTTTTAAGGCGTCTCATATCTGTCTTTGTCCCGTGTTGCCACTGTCACCTGTGTCATGTGTTCCTGTGAAGGCTTCCAGCTGCCCCCTCTTTTTCTTTTAATATTGTCACTGTCACATAGTCATTTCAAAGGCATACAGCTCACGCTAACACATCAATGCTCTTGAGGGTGCTACATTAATGAAGTGAGTTATTAAGAACACAGAAAAGACAGCTGAACTGTGTGTTGCTTGAGGTTGATTGCAGATTGAATATAAAACTGTATTAGAGAGGTGAATTATTTATAGATCTAAATTTCACTTGGAAGTAAATGATGTGAACCTGGGAACAATGTCAGGAACTTTCAGGAAATGTCTGTTGTTTTCCCCAAAGGATTAAAAATCAGCCGGGTTCAGTGTAAACAGTTACTCCAGCATCTTTTCAAGATTGGGATTGGGGATCTGAGTTCAACAAAACTTAAAACTTTACAAGACCAACACTGGTGTGTGTGTGTGTGTGTGTGCGTGTATTTTTATGTGTGTCAATATTTTATTTATTTTTTTAGAAAAGAAAGAAGTGGAGGTTAGAAAACAAAGCACCATGTGATATCCTGAGTTGTTGGCGTTCCTATATCGCCATGCTAACATTGGTCACTGATTAACATGCAGCTGACCAATGATGCTGTTGTAGCATTCATTTAGCATTAGCCCAGAATTTAGGTAATGCTATTAAAAGCTGTCACTAGCAAAGCAACAATAGTAACCTTAATTTGGCCACAAACCTAATTTTATAATGTATTTGGTATAAAAGGTTGATTGGGAATTTTTTTTTTTTTTTTTTTTTACTACAGTAAACACTTTATTCGGTTCTTGGTCTCAGTTGTTTTTAGGTCTTAATGATTGTAAAATTAATCTTTTAAATAAAATAAAAATAATAAGAAATTAGCATATACTCGAGGGTAGGGATGGGTACCAGTGTCCGGTGCCGTTCTGACATAAACGGTAGTAACCAGACCGAAAAGCAGCGCACATTTCGGTGCTTTTTTTCGGTGCTTTTTTTTCCTGAGCTGTGATACACTTCTAGCCAATCATTTTACGTTTCCGAGGATAGTAGGCGGGGCCAGGTACGTACGTTCTTTTAGAGCAGAGCTACAGATTAAAAATGCAAAAGTCTGGCTGTACTTCACAGCAAAATATGCAAACTCAGCAGCCTGCAACAAGTGCTTTAAGCTGATACTGTGATACTGTCAAAGGAGGTAACACCTCAAATCTGATGAAACACCTGGCGACGCATAGCGTTTTTTTAAAAGCCGAGAAATGCGCCGTATTTGATAGCTTGCTGCGAGACCTCACACCGAGCACATCTACTGCGGGTGTGGTGCCTGTTATCGGACCCGGAGTTAGCAACATCCCCCAAAAACCCGAAGAGGAGAGTCCTGGCCCCTAGCCCTGCCAGTGTAGCAGAAATGATGAGGATGATGATGCAGCAGCAGCCGTTCTTCTCTGCGTGAGTAGCTTAATGTTGTTCGTGTGTAATTTACGTTGAGTAGGCTAACCACGTTATTACAATTAATGCAGTAAGGTGAACTAGCAAACATCCATCATAGTACATGCGGCTGTCTTCTTGTTTGATGGCAGATACTCCCTTCACCCTGGCCAAAAGGCTAAAATACCAAAGAAAAAGTGGAAAACAGCTAAACATGAGAGGTTTTTGGACAAAGTTTGTGTTTTTTGCATTGTTTAAGCACTGCTTCCAGCCAAGAGTGATGCCATATATGCCCCATAGCTGCAGAAAAGGCTAACATTGTTATCTTTTCACAAAAAAACAGCTAAACATGAGAGGTTTTTGGACCAATTTTGTGTTCTCCATTCTTTAAGCACCGGTTTGAGCACCGGCACAGTTTCAAAAGTACCGATTTGGCACCGGTATCGGATAAAACCTAAACGATACCCATCCCTGCTCGAGGGTGTGGTTACCCTGTGATTGACAAGTTCTTTTGTTATGAGACGGCAGATTCATCTCTCTGTTGAACAGCACTTGGCTGCACTTAAAAAAAACAAGTTTAAGTCTTGTGTTCCTTCATTTGTTTTTGCAATTACTATGCAGATTTTTGTCATAGTCAACAACTGACTCATCCTGCTAACAGTGCTAGCCAGGTAGCAAGTCGTAGGTGATCAGCTGGACCCTTTTTGTTGGATATTCACATCTGATTTAAAATAAAACAAAAAAAGAAAAATTTCAAATTTTTTAATTCAGTTTATGATGCACTATCTGGTGCCCCTGGACACATCATCAGTGATGTAACCTGGGGTCATTGGGGGTTTTGGGTCTTTCAACAATCTCTCTTCTGACAGAGAAGACAACCTGGTGTCTCCACCTTTCCCCCATGTGAAGAGAACTGTATCAAAACTGTATTTCAAAGACAAGTAGGTTACTTAACAGAGGCTAGAGCCATCTTTTTTATACAGTCGATTTGCAAGTGCAAAATTGTTAATTTAAAATCATAACTGAGACCATTCACGCGTCTTGTTCACAGCACGGTTTTTGCCCCTTCTTGAGTAGTTTTGTACTCACACTCAAAAGTTTACTTTTGAGTCCTTATACCAAAATATCCTGCTGTCAGTATAAAGCACAGACTGTCACTTTTCCACGCGTCAGTAGTTCTCAAAGTTCCTGACTTTTGTTCCTGTGGCTCTGTAGTTGGGTTAAAAAAAAGCTCCATACTGGTTTCAGGGCAGACTGCAACCATGTTACATGTAGGCTGTATTATTTCCTGTGATTGTGAAGAAAAGGTGCAGTTTTTTTTTTTGTTTTCTTCCAATTTCTGCTTGGGTGTTTGTTTGTGGACTGACACGTTTTTGCCGACCCATCGACAGCAGTGGGAGCAGCGGAGGCAGCCACCCCAGCAGCAGTCGCAGCAGCAGCCGAGAGAACAGCGGCAGTGGCAGCGTGGGCGTGCCCATCGCCGTTCCGACCCCAGCCCCACCCAACGTTTTCCCAGGTAACCCCCTTTTTTTTTTTTTTTGTCCCCCTTCCTCTCTTCTCTGAGCTGCAGGACCTTATTGTGACTGAAACGTACTAACTACACTAATCTTTGTTGAGTAATCTGGGAGTACTGCTCACTCTGGCTTTCATTAGTCGAATCGGTGTGCACAAACTCTGGATTGAATTTCTCTCCCCTTCTCACCCTTCTCTTAACCTCCCTCACTTATCTTTCCTCCCCCTTTGTATCCTTGCACGATTCCCCCTTCAGGTTCAGCCCCTGCCCAGTCCAACGCAACCAAACCTCCCCCAAACACTGCCACAGCCCCTGGGCCCCCTTCCTCTGCCCTAGACGGCCCCCCACAAGCCCCCAATCCCCCTGTAGAGATCCCGCCTGTACCCCCACCCCCTCCCCAACTCCCTGCCTCCACGGTACCTACTGGCACAGGCCCTGCTACTTATGGCAACCCTGCACAAGGTGAGTGCGACTCCCTCCTCACCCCCTGCACGCCCTCCATCCCGCCTTCCGTGACGTGCTTGTGTGATCCCAGTGTGCTCATTCATCACCCTAATTTATTTACTCATTTATTTTTCATCTGGAAGTCTGAATTAGTTCTTGAAAGATTTTCAGATCTAAAATTTGTTTCAGTTTAAATTTAGAAATTCAACCTGTGGAATGTTTTTAATGGCAGGAAAAAAGGATTTATTGTACCTGCGATTACACCAGTCATTTTCAAACTACAGGTAGCTGTGCAGAAGACACAAAAAATGAAGTTATACCGTGGACCTGAATACATTTCAGCATAAAAGCTGGCTTAAGCAAATAATGATTACAATAAGTAGCAGAAAATAACAAGCAAAACATAAACAATGATAGTTTATTTTTTACTCCATAAACTCTATTGTTTTCCCCGTGGTCCACCGAGTACCTGTGACATCTATATCTGAGAGTGATGAGTTTCTGAATTTCTTTGTGGATAAAGTTGATCATGTCCGTATGAGCTTTGGTTCTTCAATACCATCTGTTTGTGTCTCTGGGCCACCTCCCCCTCATTCACTGTCAGTGTTTAACCCAATGACCATAAGTGACCTTTCACTCCTGCTGGATAAAATGAAAATTACCACTTGTGCAAATGACATTCTACCTGCTGGGCTGTTTAAAAATGCTCTCTCTGCCATTGGCCCCTCTATTGTAGAGATATGCAATGCCTCTCTTTTAACAGGTGTGGTCCCTACGTTCTGTAAGCATGCTGTTGTTCAGCCGATATTAAAAAAGAGCAGTTTGGATCCAACTCAACTTAAGAATTATAGGCCTATCTCTAAGCTTCCATTATTATCGAAAATTCTGGAAAAAGTAGTTGCAGATCAACTTACCACTTTTTTTTTTTTTTTAGAAAAACATGAAATTTATGACCAATTTCAGTCAGGTTTCCGTAAAAGTCACTCAACATAAACCGCATTACTTAAAGTCTCTAGTGACATTATGATGTCAGCTGACTCCGGAGCATCCTCAGTCATGGTTTTGTTGGACTTGACATCTGCCTTTGACACCATTGACCATACCATCCTGATTAACAGGCTCCGGGACGTAGTTGGTGTGTCCGGTCTGGCTTTGAAGTGGTTTCAGTCATACCTCTCCAACAGATCTTTTAGTGTTTTTGCGAATCGGTTTATGTCACATTCTAAAGATCTGACATGTGGGGTACCGCAGGGTTCAGTTCTGGGTCCTATTCTTTTTCTTTTGTACATGTTACCTCTAGGACTTATAATTAGGCAGTTCCCTGAGGTGTCTTATCACTTCTATGCTGATGATATTCAGCTCTATTGCTCTTTTAAGCCGATGGAAGTCCATAAACTGTCCTCTTTAATTAAATGTTTAGCTTCCATTGAACAGTGGCTTGGTGACAACTACTTACAGTTGAACTCTGAGAAGTCAGAAACATTAATTATTGCCCCGACAACCAGATATCTCTAATCACACAGCATCTTGGTTCTCTTGGCTCATCTGTTCACCTGAGCCTCAGGTACCTTGGTGTGATGTTTGATTCTGCCATGTCCCTAGAACAACACTCTGGCCAGTTAATTAGGAACTGCCTTTTTCAGCTAAGAAACATCTCCAAACTGCAAACTTTGCTGTCTGAGTTAGAAATGGTTATTCATGCTTATATTTCTTCTCGCTTAGATTATTGTAACAGCCTTTTTCTTTGTTTGAGGAAAAGGAATCTTGACCATCTCCAGTTAGTCCAGAATGCTGCTGTAAGGCTTTTAACTAAGACATGAAAAAGAGTGCACATTACACCAGTGTTACGATCATTACACTGGCTTCCAGTACATTTCAGAATTCATTTTAAAATCTTGGTACTGACTTTTAAAGCTTTGAATTGTGATGCCCCTGCTTACATTTCTGGGCCCGTATCCCTAAAGATTCTGAGAATCCTCTCAGAGAGCTCCTAACTTAACCTAAAAATTCCTTGCCAGGAGTTTTAGCTTAGAAGTGATTCCAGAACATTTTCAGTGAACTCTGAGCAAGGAATGGATGGAAAATCCTATCTTAGTGAGGAGGTGTGGTTGACCCCGTTGCTAGGTATGAGTCATCATTTCAAAAGCCGTGATTGGTTGATCCTACAAGTTTGATGGAAATGAGCTTTTGGTGATAATGAGCAAAGGATGTACCCTCAAATCAATAAACATAATTATACTACTCTAATCTTATGCTGACTGTAATTGTAAATAATATTTCACATTCAAGAAAATATCTGGAAAATGAATAGTAAGCTCTTCTCTTCTT